CCAAGGTTCCCCGATCCTTGGTGCTTCCCAGGGTCCTATTGTTCATCATGTATTCCTTGGTCTTGTTTATCCTGCACAAGTGCGTCATGTCACTTATCCTGATTGAATTGCATTTGCCGCTGATCAGCCCATCTGACCAGCTTGTCTATACCCTCCTGTAATCTGTACCCTTCTACTGCTTACCACCTAATTTTCATAACATCTGCAAACTTACTGATCAACTCACATACATTCAAGTCTAAGGGTTCTTCACTCTCAGGGTTTTGAAGATTTGGAATTTTCTACCCTAGAGGGCTGTTGATGTTCAACTGTTGAACATATTTGAGGGTGGGGTAAGCAGAATGTTAGTGTCTCAGCAGATCAATGGATATTGGCAGTGAACAGGAAAGTGGAATGAGGAAGCACAGCCATGAAGGTTTTGAAAGGAGTGGGGGAGGAGGAGGAGCGGGGTGGGGGCGGTGGTCTCAATAGGCTGAACGGTCTACTCCTGCTTCTATTGTGAGAGTTGAAAGGAGCAAAGAAGTGGAGAGTAGGGTCAATGAAGGCGCCAGACAGAGGGGAATGAAAGAAGAGGGAGTAACAAATACTCAATCACTTGTTGGTTGTCCAATTCCATAAGTACTAAATTTGAATTCCATTCAAACCAACATGGACAAACATTCACACTTGCAACTTAGCAGCAGAAAGGAGTGCCTCAGACACGTTCAAATTCAATTGAAAACTTAAAATAATTTTGAATTGAAATACAGACTTCCAATTAAAATTTCTCCTTCCCATTCTTGGATAAATCACTGGCTGTACGTGCAATCCTCCAACTCCAGTGAATATGTGCAGAACTCAGACAATGTCCAAGTGCACTCTATTAAAAATAAATCAAGAGTCACTCTTACCTCTCTCTTTCTCACCTTTGTTCAACTTTCCATTACCTTGCTTACTGTTCTCGTGGTGAGATCTGTTGCTCTCTGGCACACTCCTTTGTCTTTTCCTGAGGCCTCCCTGCACTGTTCCTCCTCATTGCAACTGCATGTTACGTTTCCACCGAGATACTTCAAGAAGTGGGGCATGCAGTCTTTTCAGCTCCAGGTGGAAAGTGTTTACCTCTCCAGCTGTTACTCAGCAGTCGAGAGTCACCGGTAAGTCAGCTGGTGACGCTAACAGTACCGAGGGAGGTCAAAAAAAGCAGTCATACTAATCCACAAGGACCCTCAATGAGCTGGAAGTGCTGTCTTCATTTTGTGGTTAAAGGTTTGTGTAGGCCATTGGGCAATCTGTGAAGATATCCTGGGTGACCAGGATAGAGTCAGAAGCAGTAGCAACAACAATCTGCCCAAGATCTGGAAGTATCAGCAGGGAGTGCTGTATAGATTGAAAGTCAAAACAACTGACTGGAAGATGCAGGCTGCCATTTTTAACCATCTAGGAAATAGAATGGCTGGTTGCGAGGAAAGTGCCAAGTATTACCAGCTGCCCCTCAAGGTTGGGATCACGGCTCGTCTTGAGGCACGGAAATTTTCATGTTGCAATCAGGACTTCTAGCAACTCTCATTATAATTCAGTGAGGGAATGAGTTAAAGTTAAAAACTACAACAAAACCTTTCTTATACCAGGGTTGAGGGTACACTGTCTTGGACAGTGTGGAATACGATCTGGAATATTGTTACAGTCAACAAATCTCCCTTTCAGCTATTGGAAATGGTCATTCATCCCGAGCAACGTGCATACAGTGACTGAACTGCTTCTTCAGGCATTTCTGAACTAACTGGGGCACAATTTTCCATTCTGACTGCAGATCTGCTGTTCTCTACTCACCACCTTGAACAATCAGCAAACTAGCAAGTGGCTTCTTCCAATGCTATACTGCAGGTCTGTAGAGCCCTACAATCAACAAGGTGACATAGGGACCTTCTGATCCAAGTCATTCATTCGTCAGTACTCAGGAACCGGCCCATTGTCAATATTGCTTCAGAATCAATTCTTCGATAGTACAGTGGTCTTTCACATTTCCCTTTAACAGTAAGTTTCCTGCTCTATACTAAGCTTATGACATGTTACAATGTTGTTTGAAACCATTCTCTCCCATGGTTCACAACTCCCAAACATGTAATGACATCCTTTAGCCCAAACAAATCAGAAGAAATGAGCGATTCATATGGCCATGCAAATAACTGGTGACGCGCTCCTTGAGTAACAAAGTAGCTGGGTACACTCATTCCAGTAGTTTCAAATCAAAGTGTCAAACATAGATGCAAATGGTGTAACTAATGAGGAAATAGAGGCTGAAGTTGGCAATTGCTGATAGCATTACTTACTAGCCAGAATTAAAAAACAATTTGGATTTTGGTAGATTCACTGCTTATCTTTATTAGTAATTCAGACTCATGTTTGATGAGGTTTGGAATTTGCCTATACTGTGGTGAACCACATGATGCACTCTCACTTTTACGCTGAGTTATGCTGTTAACTACACTAAGCAATTACGGAATCTACTGTCCAAATGAGTTGTAGGTCAACATGTGGTCATCGATCATCCAACCATCAGCAAGTACAGTTGTACCAAGTGAAGATAAAGATCACGGTTTTGTTTAATCCTTAATGGAAAACAGGCAGTGGATACTGAAAGTATATAAACTGTGACAGCCATAATGAGCCAATACTTAAACCATAAGTCCAAAGTCAGTCCATGGCACTAACAGATGATTGACTAATCATAGATTAATTGAAGGGACCTAAAGGACCGACACGATTAACCACCTGGTTCTTGGTAAGTCTGTAAAACAATACCAGACCTAGCTGGACAAACAGTAAGCATCCAGTGCTCTCTACTGGTAAAGTAAATGTTCGTTGTTTACCTTCATACATTGGATCCATGTGGTATCCCCGATGGCCATGTCACAATGCTGAGAAATTGTGCATCATATGTATTTGTAATTAATTTGAATTGGACAATGCCAAACATAGTTGATGTATGTGTTAAGAATGGAATCCAGGAATCAGCCAATTTTGTCTGGTTTTCCAGTCAACTATCAGCTGCATTAGCACTAGGTTCCTACCCAAGTAACAATCTCCTGCTGAATCATTAAACAAGATTCTTACTGAATACCAAGAACCTTTGTCTAGTAAGAGCACTTCTCAGGCAAGTCAAAATCTTTTGTCATATCCAAGGATTCTACCTGATCAACGCAGTAAATCAGTGAAATAACATACTTTACATCTCCAAAGCACCCCACTGCAACTAGAAATTAATTATTCTATGTACCAGAATTATGAAACCACAGTCTTGATTTGACCCTACACAACTCTCCCGATTCCTTTCTCAACCCACATTAAATTACTTAACTAAGTTCTAACACCACTCACAACCCACCATTTCAGTACCTAAAAAATAGAATAGAAATTTATTGTCGTGTACTTTTACATGAAAAATACAGTGAAAAGTTTTTAAGTCGCCCCACCACGGCGCCTACATCAATGACATAAGTCATACATAATTAAAAAAAGTAAAAAAGACAAAGTTTGTCACAGTTCAGTTAACGGCTCCAATTAACTATACCCAGATATCATTCATCTTCCACCACCTCTCCATACAATTCAAAAATCCAAGAAATTCAATGCGAAAGAAAAGCTCAATCTAATGAATTGTGTCAAATGTTTCCTGAAGTTCTGCCTTCTATTACCATACACAGTACAACCAAATTAAATTTATACTGTCAGATAAACAAAATGGAAGAGTTAGCAGGTGAATCAACAGATACCAATATCAAATGCCTATGCCAACTAGTGGATCAGATGTAATTAACTGCCAGTGCCTACACTGCCACTACATTAGGCCTCAAATCCCTTCTAGTTCCAGATTTTGCTGGAGTGTTAGTAAAAACAAAATCATTGCTCATCTAGTTCATTTCAGAGCGTTCTCCTAGTTCTAATGATTCTAAAGTTGTTGACTAATCACAGCAATTGATCTGCATTAGACTCAAAACACAAACTGAGCTGAACACCCAGGTGTGGAAAGCTTTGTCAACCATAGAGTGAAAGTCACCTGTGCTTTTCATTATCCTCATTTACAAGATGCTCATTTAAACATGGCACGTAGACTGAACACATTATATAGTAGCTAGCAGGCAGCAGTACAGCGTACATCAAGGTTAAGACAGGATGCCCAACAACATCAGTCTTGCAGACAAAAGGCTGCCTACGTGCAACTCTGTAGTGGACAGCACAGATGAAGAGCATCCAGATCCAGAAATTCAACGTGACAGAGATGGCACAAGTCTTGGGTAACTGAGTTACAGTGAAAAGCCAAACATTAAAAATGCAGTGTATCTGCAACGTGGCAGTGCCCAGGACATTGAAGTGTCTTTTGCAAATATCACCTTTACTGACAAGTGCACTTGTCAGCTCTCATGAATGTGCAGAGAGATTTATACTTAAAGCTGCACTAGCAGCAGCACAAACTAATTGGAGGAGGCAAGGAGAAGGGACGATGGTGCTAAGGAATGAACACTTTTCCACTTTGCTCCCAGTTCTGGCATTAGCTGTGGTCAAGATGAAGTGCATGACTTGTCCTTGGATTCTAGCAATGAGCTTTTTCTTCCGGTCATTTCTAGTGCATCAGGACATTTCTTCCAATTCTGACGTTATCTGTCCTGGCAGCCTATCAATGCTAGATAAGTGGCAATCTGACCAAATTTAGAAGCCAGGATGCTTTGCAGCAGGAGAGGAGGAAGGAGGAAGGAGGAAAAAAGGATCAAAATGACAAAAAGAAATTATGTGGAGAGTGTTGAAACTCATTATTCAGGATTTACAGAAAGCTGAGAGTAGTCCTTCACTCCATCTACCTTGGTTGGAGTAACTGTCAAATCCCTGAGATGAAAGATCACACCATTCTATGCAATTTCATCTTTGCTACCTGCCAGGCCTTTGATTTTAATTTTGTAAAATGTGTGTGCCTCCCTTTTTCCGCAATACCGTCACAAAACCAGTATTACCAACAGAACACTCACCAATGAATCCATATCCTTTATGCTTCCCCGTTGTGGGGTCTCGGGCCAAGGTGCAGGATTTAATCTTTCCAAAGGCCTCGAACACACTTTTAATGTCATCATCCGACAGATCCGGGTGAACGGACGCGACATAAATTCTGTTAAACGCCCTGGCTTCCTCTGCAAGCTGGTCTATGATTGGTTGAGCTTGTCCTATGTTACTCGGTCTGCCAACCTGTAACAAAAGAAACCCCCGCCAATTACAGACCAAGCTAGAAATGAATACGAACCATGCCACTTCTCCTGGAAAACACGGGCTAGGAATTGAGATGCCACCTGAAATCTTCCCGGGACATTGCAAGTACCCCAGAAACATTAGCAAATGGCACCATTAGTCATGAAATTGAGTGTATCTCACAGTCTGTTCCCATCAGGAAGAGGCCATTTTTTGGTTAAAGATTATTATTAAACCGACCTCACTCATTAGGAACACTCAGTTTGAGGGTTCAAAAGGAAAAGCTTTGTGTGTTTTACAGGAGAGCATGTAGCATGCTGGCACATCTAATTAAAGGGAAACTACACCTCATTTAAAAAACAGTAAATTTCCTGCTCCCACGCACAGTCCCCTGCCAAGTGCTCCGAGTTACACGCTGCGATGCTGCGGAGAAATCCACCCCGTAGCCTCGCGTTTGTTCACCACCGGGAGGGAAAGGGGCAAGGGGAGGGAAGCAGATACACAGTTCATGTGCCTACTCACAGTGCATTCTAGGTAGAATGACATCACTGCAGCTGCACTGTACAAAACCTTCCACAGAATTTACTTACCTGTGGAAGACTTGTACAGGGCAGCTACAGAACAAGCAGACCAGAGTGATGCCACCCTACCTAGAATGCACTATAAGCAGGAGAAGGAACTGCGACACCGGGCAGTGGGAGAAAATGCAACGTCACGAGCTGGACTTCTCCCCAACATAGCAGCGTACAACTCAGAACAATTGGCAGAAGTCTGCGCCTGACAGCAAGCTATTGAAACTTACCACTTTTTAAATGGGCTGAAGGCCCCTTTAACAGATATCAAATACAAGTGGTTGTTTGTATATGTTTACTGGGAGTGCCCTGACTTGTTCCCCCAGCCAATCGCAGGACATCATGGTGGTGTGATACTGTCTATCAGCACTAAAACGCAACCTGCTGCGGAGACAGGCCAGAACTATCACAGTAAACATACCGGGTGGTGAGAAAGAAAAGATCAGAGACTGGTTTCAGAACTTTTGAGCATTTATTATTAAAATAGGAATTACAAGTTGATTTGATGTTGGTGGGAGAACACTCATCCTCCAATCGACGTGAAATGTCCAACATGACAGATAACTTTTTAAGGAGGAGGGGAGTGAATGGAAGGAACTGGGAAAGGTTTTGTAAAATAGATTATTCCAAGTATTTCATCCACTGAAGAATAATTTATAATTTATCTGGAACATGAAATAAGAGAAAAACTTTGGAAATGTGGGTCAGCAAGAGTTCCACCTAAAATTTTCCTGTGGATCACTGTCAAAGTTAATAAACCAGCTCCAAGCACAAAAGAGCTTAATGCTCCAAGAACCAAAGGAGGTTTGGGATTGTAATGCAGGCCATCAGAGAGCGGCTGAACAAGATGAAGACATCTAGATGTGCAGATGGAAAAGTAATCAATAAGTGAGACCAAAGAATACAGATGTCCTCAAGATCAGTAATGTCTGGATCCTAAGGTTCCAGACAGAGCCAGATGCCTCCTTTTGCTCTCTGTGGCCTGGAATGCTAGGGTCCACTAGGAGTTCCATGTGGAGTCTTCAGTCTTCAACTACAATTAAACAGTAGATTTCCTGTTCAGTAGAGGTCAATGTGTGACCCACAGCAGCCTATATATTTCACTGAAGGCAAGTATGCAAAGATCATCGCAGTGCCTGCTCAACGTTCTCTTTTGTATCTCTCACAAAAGTTTTCACAGTCAGCTGCCAACGTGAGCAAGCCAAGAAAAGATGCCATGTACTTAATGAAAAGAACAGACCTATTGTCAAATGAGAAGATTACTGGGGAAAATAAATACTTTTATTCCAAAGAGGAGAGAGAAAACCATGACCCTTGCCCTTTGCCCTAATCCCAGGCAAATTAAAATATCAGGCTGGCTCCTGGAAGTGCAGTCGCTTAGAATGTCGAGTGTTCCCACTGGCTGCGGGCACCTTAATGCTGGAATTTACAGCTGTTGATCCTTCTGAACAGAATGGCTGTCGGACTGGTGAGGAGGGAGAGGTCTACAGCCGAGTCCTGTTCTACATAAAAGCTTGGAGGAGACACAAAGAAAAGAGAGGTCGTTTCTAAGCACATAATAGGAATGGTTACGGTAGCATTTATAAAGTCAGCAACAACCCAGAGCTTAAACAAAGTCACCAGAAATCTGCTTCTATCAGGCTGGAGGAACTGACGTCAATCTTGGCAGGATCCATTGTAAAGCCATAAAAAGGGGCTTCTCCCCTTGACTTCCACCCACCACACTTCACCTACATCATTACCATGTCGTTAGTGTCTTAGGAGACATTATCATTTACCCAGCTACATAGTGAACCCTCATACACCCATTTGCTTAATGTTATCCACAGGGCCCCCACAGAAGTGAATATATTTCCCTTTTTTCTACATCCCTTCCCTCCTTGCATCCATTTTTACATCCCCTTCTCAACTAAGCTATTCTTTATTGTCTCCTAGATATATTCATTTTTCTGCTCCATCCCAATCACACTAATCCTTCAAAATCTAACATTATGTTCACATAAGCTGGTTAGCAGCTCTGCGACACTCTTCCTTGTTCCTACCGTATTTGATTCGACCTACCATCTGGGAGTCCCAACCCACCCTCATACACTGGACCCATCACTCACCTCAGGTGAGTGTGCCTTCCAAAGTTAGTTCTCGGTTTTTATGGTGTTATTCAGCCAACAGGCACGAACCACAGTGAACCCATTTCTATATTCTATTAAATAGAGGAATTAAACACTGGCATTGCCAGAATAAAAGGGTAAATGTGTACCCTGGCCTTAAATAGATTATTCTAGCTCCTTCATGCACACGACACAGGGTGGACATTTGGACAGCACTCTGTGGCTAATTTGCCAAAGTCCACTGTGCACTACATCAGTTCCTCCATTTATGCCACATTGATTGCAGCCACTAAGTTTCAGTAATCCCATAACCTATTCCTAGCCTTACTTACCAATTCTGCTGAACAGTCTAAGCTGGTGCAAATAAGCTGTGGTTGACTCTGTGGGTCCAGTTGTCACAGCTGATGTGCAGAGGTGACCTTATTAGCAGCTATGGCACGTACTGATCTATATCAAATGCGCCTGTGACTCAACACCCTAGATCAATGAAATTGGAATATCTTGTATGGGATTAAAGCTAAGGTTAGAAAACAAAAAGAGCTGACTTTGGTGAAAGAAATGCTACATCATTAAGTGTTCATCAGCATTCTGGTGGAGTCATCCAATTTTTGACTTGATAGATGGGATAACGAACAGTGAAGAAATAAAACTGGCCACTTTATACAAACTATTTAAAAAGCAAAACAAAATCAGTTTTGTTTTGCATCTGAAGGGCCTGCTTCAGTCATTGCTGACAAGATGACAATGCAATGAGCTTTCATAGTTGTCACCAAAATACCATATAGATAGCTGACTGTATCATTAACCAACATGCATCCATGAGTAGACAATCGTCATGTGTTTATGGGAACAATGCAAATCAGTGGGGTCCTGGAGTTTTCTGTTCTGCAGTCACCTTGTGCTTTATTCTTTTACTGGAGCACATTGCATTTCATCGTTGTGTATTTGGAAAAAAAATTTAAAAGAATTGAAGGTTTTGTGGAGACTCTAATCTGATGAGATAACTATGTATTCAAGTGATGAAGTTGCTTACCTTAATGTTTCTGCCTCCCAGCATCACTGAGTTCATCTGTTCAAGAGCAAGCTGAGCTGCCTCAGGAACTTCATACTCCACAAAGGCAAATCCCTATAAGTAAAAGGAACGGCCTCACTCTCAGCTCTTCTATAGCACAGTGTAATCTACAGATCTTGTGCCAGTTGATCCCCATCATCTTGTACACATAAAATGAAGACTTCACAACCTCATGCTAATCACTTATTGAATGCGTAGCCCAACATGACAATAGGAACTGCATTAAGTTGCTGCTTAAATTTCTTAATGTTCCTTTGCTAAGCGTGTTGGACAAACTACTTGTCAAGGCCTGCAATGATGCTAGCACATTCATATTGACACAGATCAGAAAGCATCTCTGGTTCATCCCAGTTTAGCTACAATGCTGCGTCAAGATGTTTCATAACAAGCCCATAAGATGTAGAACTGGCAGACCATTCAATCCATCAAGTCTGCTCTGCCATTCAATGAGATCACAGCTAATCTGATAACCCTCTACTCCACTTTCCCACGATCAAATTACTAATTAAAAATTTGTCTATCTCAGCCTTGAATATACTGAACAACCAGCCTCAACAGCGCCCTCAACAGTGAATTCCACAGATTCACTACCCCAAGAAATGTTTTATCTATCTTGTCAAGTCTCCTAAGGATCTCGTATTTTTCAGTATGGTCACCTCTAAAACTTTCTAAACTCCACTGAGTACAAGGCCAACCTACTCAAATTCTTCTCATAAGACAGTCCCTCCATGTCCGAGATTGGTCAAGTGAACCTTTTCTGGAAAACCTCCAATACCAGTATACCTTCCTCAGATAAAGTACTCAAGTGTTCACAATATTCCAGCTGTGGTCTGCACATATTTTCTAAAGCTATATCTTAATTTAATCCAACTGCGATTGTGGAAGGCAGGAGACTAATTTAATAGAGATAGTAGGAACTGCAGATGCTGGAGAATCGGAGATAATAAGGTGTAGAGATGGATGAACACAGCAGGCCAAGCAGCATCAGAGGAGCAGGAAGGCTGACGT